ACGAGAGATTTGTGCACACGATCGCTTATCTCATTCTATACTTCATTTGCAGCTGTGATTTGTCCCTATTCCGACTACCACAGTGGTTTCGGACCAGGTACTACCTCCATTATCTTGGGAGTCAGCTCGGAGAACACACCACCACAAACATCCACATCCCGAGCTATAATCGTTCCACATTATTTCCATGAAAATGTTTATTTATATCGAAAAAATTTGCTCCCAGCATTCTTTTACAGTGTTGCTCATTGTTCTGATTTATTCAAGACCCCATGTTACCGGGATTCCAAGGTTATTACTTTGTTGGTCACTGCTAAAATGACGACACATTCTTCGAGCCCTACTGTGATGTCAATACTCCTAACTTCGGGTGTCTTCCTGACGTTTAGGAGTAAGTCTGTCTAGAAGACCCAGATCACCTGGCCACGTGAAACCTGCAACCTCTGTTGCGTACGTGAAGAAAATGCAGCCCGGTTAGGGCATTACTGTAAGATCCTTTCCAAGTAAGTGAAAAAGAATGGTTTCGAATCCAGGTATCTAAGGCATCCCTCAAGGCAGTACCGGATTCATTATGTCTCACGTAGAAGGTGATACTACTTAGGTCGTCGGATGTTCAGTTTGATATATATATATATATCTCCTCTATGCCGGAATCGAGCCTGATCAGTAGATTGACGGAACCAATGTAGTTAATGAAAGCCACATAACATATTTCCACACTTATGCTGTCGTTTAATTTGTCAGTTACTCTTTTAAGAAGTGGAAAACATTTGTGAAACAATCTAGTTTTCAGGAATCTGTTGTAAATTTTTTTTACTTATTTCCAATCACATTTCTATTCTGTACATTTCAATAAACATACCGAATAATCGAAAAAACTTTAACGATTTTTTCTCAATTGGTGCGCTTTTTTTAGGACACGGTTCCGAACCAATCTTTCACAAACAATGAACCCAATCCTGTTCGCTGGGTGAGAAGAGCGTAGCGCCCAGGGGAAAGGCTATATGTTTCCCGACGTACAAAGGAAATATCTGGAAGACAGACCCGGCGCACTCAGGTGACTCATAATACTACGATCCTAAATTTATCTTAGATACGCAATAGACCTCAATTTTCAGAGTTTATTGTGCGTGCAAGACCTACTTGTTAACCCACCTGTATCAGAGTCCTCACGCTCAAGGTCCCCAGGGTTGGGAGATTGACGAGACTTCAGAATATGCGGATTATTTGGTAACAATCTTTAACGAGTGGTTAACAGGTTTTTCTAATGGGATGTTTTGGGTTGGAAGAAAGAGAGAAAGAAGAGGGTTGGGTATAGAAGACAAAGAGTTAAACAAAGTTTGGGATTTCGAAGCAGCAGCCTACTTAACACCATCCACCCCGATCGATGCAATGGACAGCGTGGTGCTGATTAACCTGCGTGACGAGGGATGCAGTATGGAATTATTTTTCGTTTGTGTTCATCTGGATCTTTACAGATGGGTACTGCTAGGGAGTCCAAACACGACCACCATCCTTCTCCGATCAATCAGGGTTTCTAAACCAGATCATACATTCAAGTGTGACTAGATTATTTCCCGCTGTTCTTTATTCATGTCCATTATTTTTCATGCGTCACTGTGCAATCGAGTTCGATTGCGAATCGTATAGCTTTCGCTACGGCAATCAAATATTACCAATATCACGAAGGGGACAGCCCCGATAAAAGTAATATGTGACAGCCGACGTTTTACCAGAAATCGAATCGTGTGACTATAATTGTGACCCACGGGAAGCGGTTTCACAAGGCAGCAGCTGGTATCTCTTTGCACCGTATGCACTGAAACCATTAGCAGAGCTCGGTCGATTTCTGTTGGAAGCACAGGCAGGCTGTAGTAGTTACATTGCCAAAAGTCGATAATGTGCGAAAAGACGTCATGGCCACGGTACTTGTGTGTCCCACGGTTTGCTCAGGTTTATTCATCTTCCAACCCCGCCTACTGAAGTTTTACAATATGCGGTACTCACCCCAGCGCTAATGCCAGTTTGGCATTAAATCGTACATTTTGACTAAAGGGCAACACAATCGAGTTCACGGTGCCACGGTGGCATCATTACTCACTATGCAACGCAAACGAACTCAGCTCAGGTTGGACAGCGGTGAGTAAACTTTATACTAACAACCAAGTAACTTGCGGAATGTCAGATTAAAAGATTATTATAACCTAAAACTATCTACTTTTCGATTTCTTTGAATTAATTTTGTTTATAATTGAAGTCTTTTATGTGCCTTTTCTGTTTTCAGTGTTCACCCCCCAGCTGGCAGCAACTGTTTTGTCAATTCTGTAAATTTGCTCTTTTTGCATCAGTTTTCAGGGTTTCCATGATCGGAGACCGGAAGAGTGTACAATCAGACGACCTGACACTGTCAGTTTGATTTGTTCTGGGTGTGTCAATTACCCATTCGTTGCTCACCGCCTGTATTCTTGCTTACGTAGCTGGGAGAAGGCTACTACTGGTGTTCGTGGCGTGCAGTCTGTGCTGTGATCGTACTTGTGGGGCTAGACGACTTGTTTGGTTGTTGAGGTATGCGTTCCGTAGTGTTCGGACCTACATCGTACCTCTGTGTGCGTTCGCGCTCTGTGCAATATCGTGCACGTCGACTTTGAGTGTCCAACTGGTGTTTCTCTTCCCTCATCAGTAGTGAGTGTCACTACTGTGTTGTGTTCTGGTGTGCTGTATCGACTCGTGTTTTGGATAACTGTATAGATTTATAATTTCACACACGCATGGATCCAGACTGTGTGCCAAACAAATCATAATACAATAATTTTCATGTAAAAGAAAAACGCTCCACGATTTGCATATAGGCTGAATACTACCCGGTTGCTCAGGCTAAGGCAGGTGAATTTTCTTGAAGAAGTCACAACCGAA